CTATTTGCCTGAAATGTCGAAATATGAAATAGAGCCACGAGGGAATATAGATTTGACCTCATTTCCTTATTCATGTTTGGGAAAATAAATGGGATTTAGTAAAACCAAATCAAAAGCACCAAAGAAAAAAAAAAGAAAAAAAGAAAAAACTGAAGGGAGATAAGATCAGGGTTCTAAACAAAAAGAAAAAAAAGAGAAGACAGGATTCTGTCACCATCTTTGTGAGTGTGGGTAAGTGATGGAATCATTCTACATCTCAGTTTTCTCATCTAGCAAAATAGCTACAATAATATGAGTGTTGTCTATTTCACAGAGTTAGTCATATTAAATAAGAAAATGGATGTGAAAGACTTCAGAAAGTTAGAAGTGCATTCTGAAATTAGCCATGAACGATGAATCCTTAGAAAGGTATTTTGGCTTGAATACATCTGAATGGCAGAGAAACCATTAGGGGTGTGCACCATGGGGCAAAGATCAGTCTCTCCTACCCCTCGGTGTACAGAACCTTTCACCCCAGAGTGTAGACGGGACCCTCACAGTTCTTTCTTTGCCTCTAAAGAGAACTCTTGGCCAGGCGCAGTGGCTCATGCCTGTAATCCCAGCACTTTGGGAGGCCGAGGTGGGTGGATCACTAGGTCAGGAGGTCGAGACCATCCTGACCAATATGGTGAAACCCGGTCTCTACTAAAAATACAAAAATTAGCTGGGCCTGGTGGTGCGCACCTGTAGTCCCAGCTACTTGGGAGGCTGAGGCAGGAGAATCACTTGAACCCGGGAGGCAGAGGTTGCAGTGAGCTGAGATCGTGCCACTGCACTCCAGCCTGGCGACAAAGTGAGACTCTGTCTCAAAAAAAAAAAAAAAAAAAAAAAAAAGATAACTCTTTGGGTGAGGGTTAGATGTGAGAAATAGTGAGATGGCTGGGCCAATGGGGTCAGTGCTGTAGCCTCTTATATCCCAGTTAACTTATAGGCGTGTCATGAAAGAGTTGAGGGGATTTCTTAAAATGCACAGTGGCCCCTTCATATGCCGATTTGTTGTTTATACTCTGTTTCATTCATTTTTATGTTCATTCATTCATTTAGCAATGTGTGTTCAAACATTCAAACCTCCCCCAATCCTTCAAAGTTACTCAAATTCTACCTACCTCAGAAAGCTTCCTTGCCCATCCTAGCATAGCACCTGTCTATGCCTTTTATTTCAGGAACCACATTCTTCTTTGTCATGCATCTGTGTTATCACTGGCCTCAATTTCTTTCTGGACACAGAATCCATGTCCTAAGCATCTTTGTATCCCTAAAGCCACCAGAATAGCACCATATAAATAGTATAGCAGGTTCTCAGTAAATAAGAACTGAATGAATGAATAAGTTGAAGGGGTGGGTGAGTGGCCCTAGATCAAGCAGTATTTTCTGTATTTTCTGAGCTGAACAAAGAAGGGAGTGCAGCAAGTTCAGTTCTTGTTTAGCCATGGAGGTTGGTGGGGTGAGGGAAGCAATGAGAAGGTAAAGACGATTGCTGAGGGCAGCCGTTTGTGATCCTGCTACTTAAAGACAACACTAAAGGCTGGATGTGCTGGCTCATACCTGTGATCCCATCACTTTGTGGGGGTGAAGCAGGAGGACTGCTTGACCCCAGGAGTTCGAGACCAGCCTGGACAGCATAGAGAGACCCAGTGTCTACAAAAAAACAAAAAAAGTAGCTAGTCACTCACACCTGTAATACCAGCATTTTGGAAGGCAGACGTGGGTGAGTCACTTGAGCACAGTTTGAGACCAGCTTGGGCAACATGGTGAAACCCCATCTCTACAAAAAATACAAAAACTAGCCGGGTGTCATAGTACATGCCTGTAGTCCCAGCTACTTGGGGGGCTGAGGTGGGAAGATGGCTTGAGCCCAAGAAGTCAAGGCCACAATGAGCCATGATTGTGCTACTCCACTCCAGCCTGGGCAACAGAGCAAAACTCTGTAAAAAAATAATAAGGCTGAGTGCAGTGGCTCATGCCTGTAATCCCAGCACTTTGGGAGGCCAAGGCGGGTGGATCAACTGAGGTCAGGAGTTCAAGACCAGCCTGGCCAACATGGTGAAACCCCATCTCTACTAAAAATACAAAATTTAGCCGGGTATGGTGGCAAACATCTGTAATCCCAGCTACTTGGGAGGCTGAGGCAGGAGAATCGCTTGAACCCAGGAGGGGAGGTTGCAGTGAGGTGATATTGCACCATTGCACTCCAGCCTGGGTGATAGAGACTCCATCTCAAAATAATAATAATAATAATAATAATAATAATAATAATAATAAAACAAAAGCACTAAAGGTCACTTGGGAGTGTCTACTCATTCAGGTCACCTTTACTGAGTACCTCCTGTGCTCAGTAAGACACTGTGCTACAAGGAAGGGAAACAGAGATGACTGTAAGTTCATTACATGGCAAAAAAAAAAAAAAAAAAAAAAGGTAGAGTCTACATGTAGCTGGTAGACAATTCATGCAGTGAAAAGTTAAACAGCACTTTTTTTGAAAAAAGTTCAAATGGTATTACAAGGCTGTGAGTGTAAAGTGGCAAGCCAGTGGTTCAGACAGTAAATACATAGGCTTAATGCTTCTTCGTCTTAGATTGTCTAGGGCTGTCCCACTTCCCAGCTGGCTGCCCCATAGCTTTCCCAAAACACTAGCACTTACCTGAGCACACAGCTGATTTTAGTATCACAGAATGTGCTCACTGTTATACAGCTTTCCAGGAGAGAAGTATTGTAGTAAGCTGAAGGGAGGATGGGAGGGGGCATGGAAAGGGCATTTGGGAAAGCTTTATACAAGAACTCACCCTGAATTTTATAAAAAATGGATAAGATTTGAGAAGAAAGAAAGGAACGGAGAAGGCATTTTAGGCAGGAGGAAAAGGCATGATGAACAAGGGAACAAGAGTTAGAATAGATTAAGTGTATTTAGAGGACAGTTAATTTTCATTTATTCATTCATTTAATAAATATTTATTGAGCTCTTGCTAAGTGCTGGGCAGTGTTCTCATGCTGGCCACACAGTGGTGAATAAAATAGTCTACCTTCAAGATGCTAGTGGGGCAGTTGACTTATTTCCCCAAATAAATAGGGGAAAGTGCTGTGAAGGAAAAGAACAGGGGCCTATAAAAGGATTATACATGGCTTCCCAGAGGAAGGTGACACTTAAGTGGAGACCAGAAGCCTGAGGAGGGAAAAAGCATTATGGACGGGGGTCGAGGGGCCCTGTGATGAGGGTTTTGAGGTGGGTGAAGAGGATGGCACATTTCAGAAACCCAAATACAGTTGGTGCCACTGGACTATGGAGTGGACACACTCGACTAGGGATACTGCATTGCAGAGTGAAGCCAGATTATAGAACGTCAGACTGGAGGGATGGAGCATGTTGAAACATTTTCTGAGACCAGATTATCTCTGAGTGCGTTTCGTTATTTCAACCTGAGGACTTTCATGGAGAGAGGGATGTAGGGAGAAAGTGAGGGTCTCGCCACAACATCTTGTGACTCCTCTCCCTGTTTGCAGCCGGGCGATGGGGCCATTGCGATGGATGAGCTACAGGATAACAAGAAGCTGAAGGTGGGTGCTGTATGGAGTCTGCACAGTGGGGAGGCAGGGTCTCAGTGGATGGTCACAGACCCGGGGTATTGGGGCCCTGAGCTGGGGACCCTGGCTGTGCTCAGGCCTAGGAAGCTCCTGGGAGCGCTGCCAGGGTGAGGCAAGGGAGGAGAGGGCTCCTTTTCTGAGAACTCTCACCTCTAGATGGCCTTTGAGGAGGTGCTAGTTTGGGAGCTAAGTCTGAAATGTTATAGTCCGCTCTGCCATTAGCTTGCTGTGTGACCTTGGGCTTCAGATTCTGCATCTGTAAAATGACTGTTTGGACTAGATGAATTCAGGTCCGAGTGTACAGCCCAACACTGTATGATTGATATAAAAGCCGGATTACCTATGGCTTTGGAATGCCCCAGAACTAAGAGAAAGATAGCAGGGGAACTGGAGAGGGCAGGAGTCTAAGGTTTCTGAAAAACTGTGCCTTCGCTGTTTACAGACTATGAAGTATCTGCAAAGAATTATGGGGAACTTTGAAAGGAGTTCCAAACCTGAACCTAAAGAACCTCCCCCATCCAAAGAAAATCTCTAAACTTGTGGTGAAGTACTGTGGCACCACAGTCACTAGATGGCAGAAGAGTTCAGATCAGAGGGATGAGGGGGAAGAAAGGAGGGAGAAAGAAGAGGAGGAGGGAGGGAGGACTCAGCAAGTGTGGAAGCATTGTCTTTGGATGTTCCATTGTAACTCAGATGATATTCCTATATGTGTCACTATGAATAAGTGTCACATCTGTGTCTGTACAGTATCGGGGTGTGTGTGTGTGTGTACCTGTGAGGGTCTGAGCACGTGGGCAGAAAAGAAACAAACAAACTGAACTGGGAATCAGAAGACCACAGAAGACCTGGGTACCAGTCTGACTTTTTTGTTTACTTCCCGCATGACCTTGGCTTAGGCACCTAGCTTCTTTGAGTTTTCCTTTCCCTTTCCATAGATGGGGATCACAGCTTTGCTTATCTCTGGGAGTGGGGCAATGATAAAACGTGATAATATGGACTGTAAAGGGCTGTAGCCATGTGTAGTGGGTCTGTCTGTGTGGTGTGTGGGTGAGGGAGTGTTTCTGAGGGTGTACTTGCAGGGATGTGCAAACCCTTGGTAACATGATATCCCTAATATACCAGGTTGCTCCCTGTGGAGACCTTGGGAAATTATTCAGTATATAGAACAAAATAGTCCTGGAAGAGCTGAGGGGAGGCTGAGAAAGAAAGTAGTGTAACTCTCCTGGTTGGAGGTGGAGGAAGAGGGGAGGTCAGGATAAGGCATCTGTGCTTTCTCCCTGATTTTTATGGGAAAGAGGCAAGGTTAGTGATGCCCTCGTGTGGTTCCTCCCCTGGCTTGGACAGGGACCCACTGAGGCCTGTGCGGCTCTCCTCTTGCTCAGCTCCCGTCCTTGCTGACCCGAGGGAGCAGCTCGACCTCTCTGCACAACAGCACCATCCGCAGCACCATCTACCAGCTTATGCTCCACAGCCTGGACCCCTTGAGGGAAGGTAAGCAAGGCCTCTCCAGGCCTGTGTGGTCTGCCCCATCCACTCCTTCCCTCCTGCAGCTGGAGACGAACTGGGACCTGAAAATCCGAGAGGCAGTGAGGAGCGGGTGGGAAGAGAGAATAAGCAGAGGAAAGTAGTAAAAGTCAGACAGTCTGGGAAAGAGGGTAGAGACCAAGACAGGGGACTCACCAAGAGAGGGCAACAAGGAACACAGAGGCTAAGGTCCTTAGGTATCCACATCCCACTTCCCTGCCTCTGTCCCTCCCTGTAAAATGCAGGCGTTAACCTGCAGTTAGGCTATGAGTACCGTGTGCTCTGCACAGGTTTGGGTTGGGGCTGCCCTGTAAAGCCCACTGCCCAAGAGTCAGCCCCAGTGTTCCATGGAGAGTGTCTAGCCAGGCAGCTTGGCCCAGGCTCACTGGCCTGGGCTGCTTGTGGGGACACCTCTTGTAGGGTCCCAAAGCCCAGAAGTTCTTAGTGGCACTTCCTTTTGCTTTATATTCAACTCTGGAGTCCTAGGAAACCTGCTACCTCCTCCCCAAGTCAGGAATCCCAAAGGACACCCTGGAAACTGCCAGCACCCTTTTAAGGGTGACGAAGGTAAGAGCAGGATCCAAAGTACAGTGGGGGCTGTTGTCCAATTTGACAAATGGTGGCAGTGGCTGAGATTCTCACTGTCCAGCTTACCAAATCCTGCCTTCTGCTTCTCTTCCCCCAAGAGCTGTCCCCAACCTGCATCTCAGACCCCTAAAAGGCACTCCTCAGCTACCCTCCTGCTCTCCTTGAGCTCCCCCATCTCTGGGGCTCTGGTGCAGAACCGGAACCCAGCCAGGAGGCCCATCAAGGAAAGGCTAGCCTTTGGGCAAAAGCCAAGGGCTTGGACTGCAGTTGGGCAGGAGGGCTGAGGGCTGAGCTGAATATGACACCACAGAATGATCCATTGAGTCCCAGGGAGCACTCTGACTGACCTTTCTGGCTCAAGGACAAATTTTGGGGGCTCAGAATTTTCTTTAGGCTCTGAAGTCATTTTCAGAGACAATATTGAGTTGTCAGTTGTTTAAATTAAAAAAAAAAAAATACCAGCCAGGCGCAGTGGCACACACCTATAATCCTAGCATTTTTGGAGGCCAGGGTAGGTGGATTGCCTGAGCTCAGGAGTTTGAGACCAGCCTGCGCAACACGGTGAAACTTTGTCTCTAATAAAATACAAAAAAATTAGCCGGGCTTGGTGGCGGGCGCCTGTAATCCCAGCTGCTTGGGAGGCTGAGATAGGAGAATCGCTTGAACTCAGGAGGTGGAGGTTGTAGTGAGCCGAGATTGAGCCACTGCACTCCAGCCTAGGCTACAGAGTGAGACTCCATCTCAAACAAACAAACAAACAAACAAACAATTTTTAAAAAGGCTGGGCACGGTGGCTCACACCTGTAATCCCAGCACTTTGGGAGGCCAAGGTGGGCGGATCACGAGGTCAAGAAATCGAGACCATCCTGGGCAACATGGTAAAACCCTGTCTCTACTAAAAACACAAAGATTAGCTGGGCGTGGTGGCACACACCTGTAGTCCCAGCTACTCAGGAGGCTGAGGCAGGAGAATCGCTTGAATCCGGGAGGCGGAGGTTGCAGTGAGCTGAGATCGTGCCACTGAGCTCTAGCCTGGGCGACAGAGTGAGACTCCATCTCTAAATAAATAAATAAATAAACCATACTGTGAAAAGCTGCATCAAAGACAAGTGATGAAACCTTCCTTAGGAATTCCTCAAGGTAAGAACAGAGGGAGAGAGAAAGGGAGAAAAAAATTAAGCTGCTAATGGAGCTGTTAGAAAAAAAGAGAGAGAAAAGAAAAAATAAAAAGCAATTCCTCAAGGTAAACCTCAGAAGACATTGTGAGAGAGGCCACCCCCAAATGTCAGCTCTAGAAAAATAGTACCTTGGGTTTGCAGAATGGAAGCTGCAGCCCCTGACAGCTTCTGGTGATGAATGCTGGGGGTGCTCTGGCCAGGGCCCCATGAGGAAAGCTGTATCTCTGGGTCATCAGTGGCTACTCCCAGAGGAATCACTGACTCTAGCAAAGTCCTGATGTAAAGACCTTCTCTTGGATGAGACTGGAGGGCCCCCAGCTGGGCACCTCCGTGACCAACAGCCTCCAGCTGGCCTACTTGTCTTAACAGGATTACGTGATGTTCAGGCCAGGCTGAGGTCAGAGGAGACTGATGCTAAAGCGATGATCCGGCCATGCTGAGAGGGGAGAGGCATGTGAGGAAACGAGTGCCCAGGAGCCAGCAGCGATCATCCCAGGGAGGGCAAGCATGTTGCTACATTGTCTCCGAGTGTCTACCGGGCATGGAATGGCTCTCACAGTGCATGACTGCAGATGTCCTCTGGGATTCAGTCATGCTCAAGAGCCCAGCCTGATTCGACACCCTGAGACGACATTCGGGAGGGGCAGGGACCATGCAGGGTGGTGATGGGGGCCTTTGTTCCCCAGGCTCTCTAGATGCACATTTGTGTTTTCATATGCTGTTTCCAGATGGCCGTGTAGATGTTTCCACTCTTTCCAGGTGTTCCAGCTCTTTCCACAGAGCTGATCTGTGGAAAAGACATTTCCTGGGGTCTGAACTCTCACCTTCCCTGTAAAGGGGCTTTTCCTCTCCAGGGTCCCATGCCTCTTCTGGTGATTTCACTTGGATGTGTGTGAGACAGGGTGGGGGAGACCCTGCAGCTGATCTGCTTTCCTCAGTAACATGGGAAGTGAGAGGCTAGGCTGTGATGAGGATGAGAAGGAAAGGGGGAAGCTTGTGTTTATGGCGAGCCCTTCCAGCAACAGTCAGCAGATATTCTCAGTGCCAACACCAGAACCAAGGGAGCCCTCCTGGGACAGCAGCTACACATTGCTCAACAGAAGACTTCAGGGTTTGATTAGTGCCAAGGGGGCACTGGGGTTGTCAGGACGAAGGTGTGTTGGCCCCCGACCTCTCAGTTCTGAGGAGGACCCAGGCCCACCAGGCCATTTCGAGGGACCACACGTGTCATAGTGGTGGCTCTACCCATGGAGCTTATTGCAGAGCCAGCTGCAGCTGAACTCACTCTGAGAGTTTAGGAGACAGGAAGAGAGGAGGAAATTCCAGACCCATTTATCTGTTTCCTACCTGTCCTGGAGCCAGGCAGAGGCTTTGATCCACCCAGCTTCCCAGATTGCATTTTCCAGCTTCTCCGTTTCCTCTCGGTCCATCTGTATTATGGACTAGATGATGTCCAGGGCTCCTTCTAACTCGGACCCTCTGGAAGGCTGGGCATCATCACTGTGGGGTTGCTTCCCAGGTGGGACAGCCGCTGTCAACTACTCTTGTCAATTTGTTTTCACCGTTGTTGTTGTTGTTGTTACAGCTAAAAGTTATATAGTGCTTTCTAGGTGCCAGACACTGTTTTGACCATATTCCTATATACATTCATTTACTCTGTCACCAACTCTGGAAGAGTTTACAGATGGAGAATCTGAAGTACAGAGAGCTTAAGGAATCACCCAGTTAGGTCCACAGCTATAGTGCAAGTGGCAGAACTAGGATTCAAACCCAGGTCATCAGGCTTCAGAATCCGTGCTAAAGTAACAATATGAGTGAGGCCACATTTGCAGCAGTAAAAGTGTTTTTATTTATTTTCTCTCATGGACCCTCATCACATCAGTTCCCTGAGGATATGACGGTATTGCCTTTTTAGAGAGGATGCTAAGGCTTAGTGACGGCACGCAGGCTTCCCAAAGTCACGCAGTGCTCATGGGGCACAGCCAGCCTAAATTCAGAATAGAGCCCATAGATCCCATGACACCGCTTTGTTCTTCACTTGCACCACTGCCCTCACCCTCCCAGGCCACACAGCTGTGGGCTCCTTCGTCTCAGCCTTGTTCCTTCTTCCCTTCTCACCTTGAAATTATACACATAAAGCACTTTGCATGTTTCCTGGCACATAGTCCTGGTGAAAGGGAGTTGCTGTCCCATGTTTCTCGCCTGGAAATCAGGGCAGCACAATTCTGTGCATGCTGCCCTGTGGGCCTCCAGCAAAGCATGTGCATAGGGATCTGAAGGAGGCCCTTCTCGGGCTCTTCTTGTGCCTCAGGTCAAAAAGGGTGTATCCGAGAGCTTGTTGGTGAACCATTTCCCCTTTTCCACTGGAGAGGGAAGGCTTATGAACATGGCCATCAGTCGTGCCCCTGGAGCTATAACAAAGCTTCTAGTAGATTCATAGAAAGTAAGCTACAAAGATAATATTGTCCAAGGATGGCAAAAACATCTCCCTGCAATTATTTCTCCATTCCATGTCCATCACAGACATTACCAATCAATCATGCTACTTTCCTACAAAATTTGGGTTAGAGTCCTCCTCAATTCAGTATCCAAGCAGGCCGTCACTTGAGCTTGCAAAGGAAATAAATCCTATTTCTTGGCCCTGAGTCCAACCATGTCATTTTACCAGAGAGGAAATAGGCCTTGAGAAGGGAAGTGACTTACCCTAGGTCACAGCCAGTCAGTGACAATGCAGAGAATGTAAACAGAACTTTGGGAATTAGGCACCACAACTAGGCCTCGCGGGATCAGAATCCAGATGTCACAACGCCCATGGCAGCCTTTTCCCATGCTCTGCAGCTGCCCTCTGGCTGCTCAGCTGACTGTCCTAACTGAAAGAGCATGGCAGGGACTATCCTATGATTCCAGGTAAGATGTATGTCCTGTCTCATTTGCAGTTCGCCTTGCCGAGGAGAAGGAGGAGGACAGCTTGAATCAAGAGGCCAGAGCCCAACCCCAGGCCAAATCAGAAAGTAAACCAGAAGGTGAGAGGATGGCCAGAGCAGTGGGTTTTCTCCTGCCCCTCTCTCCCTGCTGTCAGTAGTGAGCTTGGCCTGGAGGTGGCAGCCAGCCAGGCCAGGGGCTGAGTCACATCTTTGGCCTCTGTGAGCCAGTCAGTTAGGGTGATGGTCGGGTGTTGCCCTGATCACCGTTCCACTCCAGACTCCTCCTTCCCAGGTACTGTCTTTTTGACATGGCTGCTGGTCTGAGAGTGGCCCCATACAGCTTCCTCTCCATTTTCCACAGCTGGGATAGGCAAGGGAAGGCTAGGGGGTTGTTGAACTTCCACTTCTTTTTGCTGAATCTCATCCCAAATGAGACTATGGGACTTTATTTCTTCTTCCTGTCTCTTCTGTACAAGGACAATGTTGCTCGTTATTGGTCTGAAATCAGCAACTACCAGGGGTCTGGTGTCACAGAAATCCGGTATCTGTGTGGCAGCTAGGACTGAGAAAATGGGACAGCCACTGCCATGTGGGCTCTGCACGGCACACCAGGACTGCCTGATCCACTCAGCAAACCCTGGAGGGAGGTGGAACAGCAGTCATTCTTCCCATCCTATAAACAAGAGGCTCAGAGAGGTCAAATGACTTCCCAAAGCCACACAGCCAAGAAGTGAGAGAACCCGTTCCAAGTTTCCCTTCCCGTCAGTCCTGTTCCAAGCCTTCAAAAGCTGCTGCTTTTGGAATCAGCAGGATCTTTCCCAAAGGGTCATTGTCTGAGTGCTGGGAGCTTTGCCTTCTCTCTGTTCTGGCTGCCCAGCTGTTGGTAGCATCCTTGGCCACAATAGCCAGGATGGAAATGTCTATGAATTATAGGGGAGCACGGATGGTCACTTGCCAACTGTCTTCTCATCCGCAGATAGGTCAGGGCAATAACAATTCACATCACCTTACTTTTCCTACCAACAAGAAATTCCCCCAAATAAACCTTCAGAAACCTTATAGTCCAATAGCCCTGTAGCCACTTACTCCAGCTTCCCTTAGAACCTTGTGCACTCTTCTGATGTAACCCATGTTTATCCTTTAAAGAGGAGGAGCCAGCCAAGCTCCCTGCGGTCACGGTCACACCAGCCCCTGCTCCAGACATCAAGGGAGATCAGAAGGAGAATCCAGGCGGTCAGGTAGGCACCCAGCCTTTGCACAGACAAAACTGGAGAGGTCTAGGGAAGGAACTCCTGACCAAAAATACATCCTCCCTGAAGGTCTGAAATCCTATTTGAGGTTAATATTACTCTTTCTCTGAAGATCACTTCAAGTATTACTCTTTGGGGGTAAATATTACTCTTTCTCTGAAGATCACTTCAAAAATACAAATATCTCATGGGGCCAGTTAACTCACTGGAACATCTTATATGAGTGAGCTAATATATTGACAATGTATTGTGAACTGTCACATGCTATAAGAACATAAGGAATAATTGTTAGTGGGTCTGTCAGCAACTAGATGACAGTGAGACCAGGTAGCTCCAGAGCACTGGGAAGCTTGAAATGCAGGTGGGAGGGTTGCTGGGTGAAGGCTTTCGAACCTTCTGAGGCTCCTCATTGCCTACTGCACCTGGTCAGGCATCTCAGCCTTGTCTGCAGAGCTTTCCAAGTCCTGACACTGCCCTGTCTTTATAGCCTCATGGTCTCTTCTTCTACCATGTTCCAGCCAAACTGGATTTCTTGTCTCCATGTTTTTCTTTTTTTTTTTTTTTTTTTTTTGTATTTTTATTAGAGACAGGGTTTCACCATGTTGGCCAGGATGGTCTCAATCTCCTGACCTCACGTGATCCACCTGCCTCAGCTTCCCAAAGTGCTGGGATTACAGGCGTGAGCCACCATGCCCGGCCGTCTCCATGTTTTTCTGCCTCCCAGCCTTGGCTCACATGGTTTCCTCTCCCTAGAACGCCTTTTCTCCTCCATTTTCATATATGTTCATCTTACCACGCACCCCCACCCTCCCTGGCCCCGCCCCTGGCCAGTGTGAACACCTTTGTCATGTAGCTGCCTCGATCCACTCCAAATCTGAATGCCCCTGGTGCTCTGCACCTATCTCAGGGCTTTTACCAATTGTCTTCTTTGGATTCTGAGCCTACTAGGTGGTGAGGTTCCTGAAGGCAAGATCGAAGTCTGAGTCATCCCTGTCTCCTCTACAGAGGGGAGCAGAATGCCTGGTGCACAACTGGCTCAATATATGTTGAGTGACTGATAGTAAAAAACATCCCATTTGCAAGTTCCATCTCTTTTCTTCTCTCCATTCAATACCCAGAAAGCGCTTGATTATATCTCGTCCTTAAACCAGCAACTTTGGGCTCAGCGTCTAAGACAGCTTCATGGTAACATGAGTAGGCCTATTACTGCTAGCTCAAGTAAAAGGGATTAAGAGGATACAAAGGTATCCCCTGGAATCCCAGGGCAGGAAGTAAGGCTTGATCTCATGAAGAGCTGGAACTAGGCCTGAGAAGGCATCTGTTACCCTGGTGGCTTCTCATTCCATGTCCTGCTCTCCCTCACATCCCTTCTCTGGGTACAGGCTCTATCATGGGCCTCTCTTGGCAGGCTGGCTTCATTTGTTCCCTTATGAGCACACACAACTCCAAGCCACTAACCCAATCCTGCAGTCCACAGGGGAATCAGTGACAGGTTTCCAGTCTTAAAAGAGAGAGAATCGGGCTGGGCGCGGTGGCTCACACCTATAATCTTTGCACTTTGGGAGGCCGAGGCGGGCAGATCGCTTGAGGTCAGGAGTTCAAGACCATCCTGGCCAACATGGTGAAACCCCATCTCTACTAAAAATACAAAAATTAGCCGGGTGTGGTGGTGCATGCCTGTAATCCCAGCTACTTGGGAGGCTGAGGCAGGAGAATCACTTGAACTCTGGAGGCGGAGGTTGCAGTGAGCAGAAGTCGCACCACTGCACTCCAGCCTGGGTGACAGAGGAGACTGTCTCCAAAAAAAAAAAAAAAAAAAAAAAAAGGGAGAGAGAGAGAGAAAGAAGCATTTCAACCCAGCTCCTTGCAGGGATCCAGCTTTCATCCAACTGGCTGTGGCTGGCTGACTTGACTCCAACACGGAAGAGGAAGCTACCTGCTCAGCTGGGGCTATTAGGAGTGACAGTCTTCAGAGAAGAGGGAGCCAAACAGGCAGACACTCCCATATTTATGGGTTTAAATGACTTGTCATCTCCTCTGAGAAGCATTCTCTACCTGATGGGGGTAGAAGGGAGAGGGCAGGAATGATTTCAGACTAAAATCTTCTGAATCCTCATTCTCAGTTCAAACCGCAGGCCTCACCAGTAGTATCTGATGTCTTCGTTGGGGGTTCTCAACCCTGGTTGCATATTAGAATAATTTGGGGAAGTTAAAAAAAAAATGACCATGCCCCACCCTCAACCAATGAAGTCAGAATATCTGGGGTGGGTCCTTGGGCATCAATAGTTTAAAAAGCCTCCAGGTGATTTTAATGTGCAGCACAATTGAGAATCACTCAACATCCTTTGGGGGTTGCCAATATCATGACATTTGTTACAGACAACATATTTACTCCATGAACACACAGCCCAGGGCTCTTGCTCAAGGGATGGACCAGCATGTTGCTATAGGTTAGCTGGGTGCCTAATCTGAGGACACTCTGAATCAATGGCTTTTAATTTTATCTCTTATTATTATTATTTTTTTGAGACCGAGTCTCACTCTGTCATTCAGGCTGCAGTGCAATGGCGTGATCTCAGCTCACTGCCTCTGCCTCCCGGGTTCAAGTGATTCTCCTGCCTCAGCCTCCTGAGTAGCTGGGATTACAGGCATGTACCACCACGCCCAGCTAATTTTTTTTTTTTTTTTTTTTTTGTATTTTTAGTAGAGACAGGGTTTCACCATGTTGGTCAGGCTGTGCTCAAACTCCTGACCTCATGATCTGCCCAACTTGGCCTCCCAAAGTGCTGAGATTACAGGCATGAGCCACCGCACCCGGCCCAGCTCTTAAATTTTTTATGGGGGTATGGGATCTCACTATATTGCCTAGGCAGGCCTGGAACTCCTGGGCTCTAGCAATCCTACTGCCTCAGCTGCCTGAGTAGTTGAAACATAGGTATCTATGTCTGAGACCACACCCAGCTATCAATGGCTTTTAGGGTATGTGGAGATAGTCAGTTGTTCCCAAACAGTGGTCTAAAGGTGGATGTTTTAGGAACAGCTGTGAGTATATTAAAATACAGATGCCTGGCTTCCAATCCTAGAGATTCTAATTCAGTTGGTCCAAGTGAGGTCAGAAAATCTGTATTTCTTTTTTTCTTTGAGATGGAGTCTTGCTCTGTCACCCAGACCGGAGTGCAGTGGCGCAATCTCGGCTCACTGCAACTTCTGCCTCCTGGGTTCAAGCAATTCTGCCTCAGCCTCCTGAGTAGCTGTGATTACAGGTGCCTGCCACTGTGCCCAGCTAATTTTTATATTTTTAGTAGAGACAGAGTTTTAACATGTTGGCCAGGCTGGTCTCAAACTCCTGACCTCGTGATCCCCTGCATCGGCCTCCGAAAGTGTTGGGATTACAGGCATCAGCCACCGTGCCTGGCCTAAAAATCTGAATTTCTAATAAGCTCCTCAGGCTACCAGGTCTGGGAGCCAGACATCTCATTCGGACCTTTACCTGGTATTGGTAAAGCAGGATAGCTTGGTGGACCATCCGTATTCAAATCCCAACTTCATCACTTACAAACTACGTGGACCACAGGTGAGTTACTTAGTTCCTTTTACTCTAGTTTCTCCATCTGTAAGATGAGCATAATTCTATCCATATCATGAATTAATTGATTCATGAAACACAGTAAGTGCTCGCTATTATTATTAAACTACTTCCCATGGTGCCTGGCACATAAAAACCCTCAATAAATAGGCATTATCATCCTTATTTTATAGATACAAGGTAATAAAACAATTTAGGAGTTTTAGTAGACTCAGCAATGCATTGTGACCACCAAAGGATGTCATGCCATATTAAACATTAATGGAAGTATCGTATCTAAGACAAGGGAGGTGATAGTCCTGTTCCACTCCATGCAATGTTCTGTGTTCAGTTTTGGATGCCCTCCTCCTGGGATATAAGCTAATTAAAATGAGTTTACCAGGATAGGGAGGAGGCGCTAGGCCATAGCATGTAGAAATGATATAAGGACCTGGGAATCTTTAACCCAGGAAAGAGAGCTGTCTCATGGAAGACTGATGTTTTGTAAGGCATCAAAGAGAAAACCTATACATGGGGGTAGAACTTCGATATAAATATGGACTTCAGAGTAATCAGAGGTGCCAAAGATGACAGAAGCTGCTTCAGGTGGTGAGTTTTACACCCCTGGAAATGATCACATAAAAGCTGGACAGCCACTAGGTAGGGGTGTGGTCATGGGAATTCTGCTGAATTATCGCACTAGTTTTCTCCTCATGCTTAAGTTTTCAGATACATTCTGAGAAGCACGCCAACAAAGAAAATGGGGGAGTATCAGAAGGAAAACAATCAGAGCAGCTACCACACATTAATCTGTTGGTTTTGGATTGCAGGAAGATGTGGCTGAGGCTGAGAGCACAGGTGAAATGACAGGTGAAGAGGGCGAAACTGCTGGTGAAGGTGAAACTGAAGAGAAAAGCGGAGGTGAAACTCAACCAGAAGGTGAAGGTGAAACTGGAACACAAGGAAAAGGAGAAGAACGTGAAAAAGAAAATGAAGCAGAAGGAAAAGGAGACAATGAAGGTGAAGGTGAGGGTGAAATCCACGCAGAAGATGGTGAAATGAAAGGTATTGAAGGTGAAACTGAAAGCCAGGAACTCAGTGCTGAAAATCACGGTGAAGCCAAAAGTGATGAGAAAGGTGTAGAAGATGGAGGGGGAAGTGATGGAGGGGATAACGAAGAGGAGGAAGAGGAGGAGGAAGAGGAGGAGGAGGAGGAAGAGGAGGAGGAGGAAGAGGAGGAGGAAGAGGAAGAAGAGGAAGAGGAGGAGGAGGGAAATGAAGAGCCTCTGTCCCTGCACTGGCCTGAAACCAGGCAGAAGCAGGCCATTTACCTCTTTCTCCTGCCCATCGTGTTCCCACTGTGGCTGACAGTCCCCGACGTCCGAAGGCAGGTGAGTGTGCCCCTCTGTATCTCAGACTCTATCCCCAGCAAGGCTGCGGGGTCTCTAGGCAGGGCTCACACTCAAGAGGAGGAAGAGGCCAGGGACAACCAGCTTAGCAGGGCTCCACCATTGAGATCCGGGAAGGGACTGAAGCCTTGGAAGGGGACAATGTGCTTAGGGGACATACCACTGGGACTGGGAGACCCTGGACCTCAAATGTGCTTTATTTCCACCAGTATAAGCAGTATACACTAGTCCCTCTTTGACTCCTATCTCAGCTTCTTGATTTTAATTTGAGAATGATGCCACTAAACCTCCTCCATATTTCACAGGAGTATTCCCAAAACCCAGGGAAATCACTGGTATTTATACCCAACATTCTTATTTGCAAGGAGAGGTCTGACAAGAAAGGAATGGTACAAGGAGGTTGCAAAAGCCAAACCAGATACCTAGATTGACCTGGTTCTAGGGCAAGCAAACAGCTTTCTTCCATCTGGTGACTGCTGTCCACCCTACTGGCTGCACTCCTCTACAGTTGTACCCCCCACCCCCATCCTTTTCCATCCATCTCAAGGTCCTCGGCCTGGAGAGAGAGCCCTCAGGTCAAATGTCTCCAGTTCCTCTCCATCACTCTTCCATTAGACCTTGTCACTGATTCTTGGGCTTGCTCAGAAGGGTCAAAGACGTTTAGCCTCTACAACTTACTTCTCATCCTTTTCAAACTTTCAAACAGGAGTCTAGGAAGTTTTTTGTTTTCACCTTCCTGGGATCTATCGTGTGGATAGCCATGTTCTCATACCTCATGGTGTGGTGGGCTCACCAGGTGAGTGAACAGCAGGAACGAAATCCTCTACCAGCAGGTCCCAAGGACACTTTCCTTCAGGATCAATTTCCGGTACTCAGGGAATCTCGAGGATCAAGTGAATTCGTGCTGTTTCTGTGTTGCTTGTAAAGGCTTAAAGGTAGACTTTTTATTCCAGTGAATGCAGTGCTTTTCAAGTGTGGCTTTTCTGTTATATCCTGTAGCATGGCATAGAAGACCTTGGAATCCTGCCTGATTCCAGCTGACCATGGCTTATTAGCCTTATTTCCTGCTTCTCCGCCATGTACCCATCCCTCTCACCTGGTGAAATCCTATGCACTCTGAGAGCCAGCTGTTTCGCCTGCTCTCTGGCATTCAATTAGTCTTCCTCTGAGTACCCATAGTGTTTCTGTTCTGCCTGGAATACTGCACTGTAATAATTGTTTACTAGCTTTCCTCTCTAAAAGGCTAAGGTTAGGGTCTATGTCATCCTGCTCATATTTCCACCTCCAGCCTCTTAGTTCTTGGCACACAGCAAGTGTCCACATTCCTGGAAATAGAAATGCTGACATGAACAGCTCTTTGGAAGGGCAGTTCTTGTGGGAAGGTAGGGGTGTTAAGAGTTGGAATGACAGCGAGCAGCAGATCTGGTGTAGGTAACTTTTAGTCCAATTGTGAAAAGAAGAGCAACATGGTCCCTGCAGCCAGGAGCAGGAGTCTTGCTTGCTCTTCCTCTCTGTGGCCATCTCAGTTGTAGGTCCGCCTATCACCCTTCCTCACTCAGGCTGAGGGGGTGTAGCTGAGCTCCTTAGAAGGCATTCTGTTTGCACGAAGTAGGATGTGGATAGTGGTTGGAGGTGCCTCAGATTTTTCACCTACTGTTGCCATGGTTTCTCATTACTGTTGCTGTTTACCAGGTTGGTGAAACAATAGGCATTTCTGAAGAGATTATGGGCCTGACAATCCTTGCAGCAGGCACATCAATTCCTGACCTCATCACCAGTGTGATTGTCGCTCGAAAAGGCCTGGGAGACATGGCTGTGTCAAGCTCTGTGGGCAGTAACATATTTGATATTACTGTGGGGTGAGTGGCAATGTTACTTCCTAAGGGGTGTTACATGTGACTGAAACACTGCATTGGCTCTGTTCACTGGTTTTCTGCTTTATTCATTATACATAGCATAAAAGGGCATTTATATTGTTAGTTTCTGCAGAGCAACAAAATATCTTGCCTTCATTCATCATAGCCAGATGGGATAATAGAACTAAAATGCTGCCTGAAATGTAACTGACTGGAATTTACAGATAAATTGAAAACCAAAGTCCATTTCCTTCTATTACCAAATAGCATCAAATGCTCTCCTCACTGACTTTCAAGGCGGTGGAGGTGGGACTGGAAGGAGCAATGACTCAACTTCACTTCTTGGTACTACTCTTGCTCCTTTGTACGTGAACTCCTGCTAGCTCAGAGGCTCTAAACAGCATTTTGTATAACGTGCAAATGCCTTACCCTCCTGTACCCATCCTCTTACCCCATTCTCCCTACCTTGTCAGAAAGGGGCTATTTTCATTTCCCCAATCATGTTCTGAATTTAGGTGGTAGATTTGTTTCCTTAAATTTTAATCTGTGTATGTGTATTTGGGGTGAGGGGCAGGTAAAAAGGCAGCCCTCATCACTAAAGAATTAAAAGAAATGTAGGCCTTATAAAAATGTAGAGATTTAAGAGTACATATCACACTGGGGCTGGGTGTGGTGATGTGTGCCTGTAATTCCAGCATTTAAAAAAAAAAAAAAGGCACACATCAACCAATCTGAGTCATATAGAAGTCATGAAGTATGCAGAAAATAAAAAAAAAAGCTCAGACTCAGAATACTTCAGTTTTAACCTAAGCTTTTCTAGGTATTAGCTGCGAGTCCTTGGGCAAGTAATTTAATTTCCCTGAAACTTAGTTTCCTTGTCTGTGAAATGGGGCTAATAATTTCTGTTCACTTCATAGATTTTTTTCTTGGTGGAAGAATACATACTTTGTAAACTGTAAAATACTATTTAAGTGTATGGGATTATTATAAACATTGAGGATATTCACATTGTTTCTTCAATCTTGCAGCTTGCCCGTTCCTTGGTTGCTTTTCTGTCTTATTAATGGATTACAGCCAGTTCCAGTCAGCAGCAATGGCTTGTTTTGTGCAATTGTTTTGCTTTTTCTCATGCTTCTGTTTGTGATCTCTTCAATTGCGTCATGTAAATGGAGAATGAACAAGATCCTGGGCTTCACAATGTTCCTCCTTTACTTTGTGTTCCTGATAATCAGTGTGATGTTAGAAGATCGAATCATATCCTGTCCTGTATCTGTCTGAGTTAAGTCACTCTTGCTCACAATGGACATGGATCAGAAGACTACGCAGAAGTTATTGTATCTCTTGTGACACTAATGAAAGAATGTATATGAGCCTGGAAAGTGAACTGAGTGACCTAGGACCTCTGATGTGAATGTGATCTGAGACTAAGGTTTGTCCTTGGAAACACGTGCAGCTCATTGTGGATTAAGAACCTCACCTCTGGAGGGGTGGAGTTTCTACCCCTGACTCATGCAGACATTTATTACATGGAGGCAATAGAAGGACCCCTGGAGCCAGAGGGTTTTCTAAATGAGAGATAATTGGGGGCAAAGGTTGGGATAGGCGCAGCGGCTATAAGATAAACTCCTGTGCTCACTGTTCCCTGATCATTCCTGAAGGACTGCTGGCCCAAAAGATGCAGCTGTGGTCTACATCTCAGCCTTCCCAACCTCTGCCCCAAACACATGCTGCAATTTTGTTGCCTCCTTTTCTGTTCAAAATGTGAGGTTCTATCAGGTTTGTAATCACTGTAGGTTCAGTTATTGGTGAGTTTAAGGATCCAAGGCTACAGAAAAAAAAGAAGTATAACAGGAATCAATGATCATCCCACGTTTTGTAGCCCACTGCCTCTGGATATATACCAGTATTTTCTTGCTTTTTTTTGAGACAGAGTTTCGCTCTTGCCCAGGCTGGAGTGCAATGGTGTGATCTTGGTTCACCGCAACCTTCACCTCCTGGGTTCAAGCGATTCTCCTGCCTCAGCCTGACTTCATGATCTTCTTGCCTCGGCCTCCCAAAGTGCTGGGATTACAGGCGTGAGCCACCGCGCCTGGCCTATACCAGTATTTTCTAGCTTAAAAGGAAGATTACCTTTAACTCTTATTGTTGCATTTCTGAAAAGTGAAATTTAAAAAGCAGCCTGAAAAATAAAAATTTGTAATCTGCTCTTGAACTGGAAGGAGTGGAGATTAGGGAAGTAAAACTACTCTAGAGGCCATTTAAAAGTATGTATTTATTAGAACATCTAAATTCATGTAGTCTCCATCAGTGGTCACCTTGAGGGATTAGACATTCTAATGGAATGTCCTGGCTCCACCCTTGGCCAGCTGTCCTGGTTTCACCCTCCAGCATGTTCTCACCCAACAATGACAGCTGAGTGGAGTGGGAAGGGAAGTCATTCTAAAGAGTCCAAAGTCAGTAGCGCCACATCTGGTTTATAAAGTAAGAGATCCAGTGGGGCAATGCTATTTTTGTATGTCAACCTAGATAGGATTATAAAGCAAGACTGATTTCTTCTGTGCTTTATGAAGGGATCTTAAGGTAGTTACAGACAGGAAATTCCAAGAATGCATAACACAATGACAACATGGTGAAAAAAGTGCAGTACTACTTCCAAGGTAGCTAGTGTAAAGGACACTTGAGTTTTTAAAAATGTGGTTAAACATTTTATGTGGAATTTGATGAGTTTGTATGTTAAATACCACTGCTTGCTGCTTTTACTAGAACCAAGTTAAGGGACACATTAGAAACAGAACAGTTTAATATCACTGACTTCAGAGCAAAATGAGCTCGGGTGACTGCATATTATGATAGTAAATATGGCTTTAATTACAAATGAGGAATGATTCACTGAAGATGAGAAGATGAAAAGGACGGATGTGATGTGAAAAACCCAAACATTTTGGCACTGAACGATGGCTAAGGTGTTCCAAATATTCCATCTTTTAAGATGAACTGCTTAATTAATTGCCTCGCTACCCCAGGATTCCCCTTCTTTGGAAATAATTTTTATTAAATTTCAATAAACTGTGAATCCCAATGGTATTTTACTTTACAACATGGATGGGCTCATCCTTATCTTTAGGTCATTTGGTCAGAATCCTCCCGAGAAGACTGATGAAGAGTATGGAATCATGTTCCAATTCTATATTCTTAATTATCCTTATTCCTGATGCTACTGCATTGCTGGGTTTCCATAGCCATGGCCTAAGAACAGGAAGAGAAGGCAATGCCTGTGGGAGGGAGGTCCCTACACCAAAATTCTGGATGCTAACCTGGTGTCTACAGCCCATTCCAGTTAGCCTCGGGGATGCCACCTCCTCATCCACAGCCTGGGATCTGATGCTCTTCCTCAGACTGAGTAAGGAGCGATGGACCGTAAAATGCTGTGTAATGATAAAAGGCTGAAATATCCATTTAATGATAAAAACCAACTCTAATAATCTGACATCCTTTTCCCAATTTGCTGAATTTCTGGCATACCCCTTTGCCTAGAAAGGAAGTTCTGATCATTTCACAGTGTTACAGAAAAGGACAAGTACAAAAAATGAAAGCTGAGTCTTGATGGATGAGTAGGAATTCATTGGGGGAGAGACAGAGAAGATTACTTTGGGGAGATGGAAAACTTGCGTAACTTTTAAAAGACTAATTGGTTATACCTGGAAATTAGAATTTTTGGTCACACATTTACAAACCTACTATAATATTAAAATCATGCTGTTTTAGAGGTAAAGTACCATTTAAAAATGTCAAGATAATATTGAGATGGTCCTCTCACTTTATAGGCAGAATATTCTGTATGTAGTTACTTGTGACAAATTCTAGGTCACTCATTCAGCCTGGAAAGTCTGAACTGTCCCACATGGGTATCTGAATTGGAAGTCAGTGGCTACATGGATGACTTCAAATCCCTTAGGCTGCACTTCCTTGATAGTGTGATAAACCCTGGTAATAAGTTTGAGCCAGATTTCTGAATTCTTCCTATTTAATGGGTTACGATTCTATATAGTACCAGAAAAAAGAGATGTATTCCAAATTTTTCAAACTGTTATGTGTTTAAATGTTTTTTTTAAAAATTAATTAACTAATTAATTAATTTTAAAGAGACGGGGCCTTGCCCTGTCACCCAGGCTGGAGTGCAGTGACATGAACATGGCTCACTGTAGCCTCACCTTTTGGGCTCAAGCAATCCTCCCGCCTTAGCCCCCCAAGTAGCTGGGACTACAGAAGTGCACCACCACACCCAGCTAATTTTTGTATTTTTTTTTTATAGAGATAGGGTTTTGCCCTGTTGCCCAGGCTGATCTCGAACTCCTGAGCTCAGGCAATCCGCCCTCCTTGGCTTCCCAAAGTGCTGAGATTACAGGCCTGAGCCACTGTACCCAGCCAAAATGGTTACTATATATTTTGAACATTATATTGCACTGTCATCAATAGATTTGAAAATGGTTTTTACCAAATTACAGGCTTAGTCTTTTACAGCTGTCTATATCAATATTATTTACAGATTGAGTACCAAAGGGGACAGGAATTGGAATGTATTATCTAGAGCACAGCCTGGTAAATAATCAGGAAGAATTGGTTGGCCTTATGTGCCAATGAATACTCTTGGTTCTGACTCTTTTTTTGGTGGGAGGGTCCTCCAGCAGTGCAGCTTGCAACATGTACGGGGACTGGACGCTATGAAAGGTGTAATGAGAGGGCTCATGAGCAGAGCTGCCTATCCTTGGGGGTTCACTAAAGCCTACAGGACATCCTGGCCCAAGTCTGCCTGCACACCTAAAGGCACACTTCTGGTCTTTAGGCCCTTCGCTGCATGAGCAAGCAAAACCTGGAGAATTTAACTTGCAGAAAATCCACCAGTTGCTGCAATAGTTTTATCATACTACTACATTTGAAAAGAAAATCTTTAAATAGTAAAGGAGGGAGCCGTCCAAATGAACAGGAACTGTGGAAAGACAGCAATAACTTTATCAGAAGAATCTATGACCATCTCAGACTACAAGCACATGCGCAGACTTTTGTAATCAAAGATGAAAATTCTTCAATTTGTTACTGCTAATTTTGTTAAGAAAAATAAGCCAGCAAATATGCTTACTTTGAGGCCAAAGGAGCAAGGTAGTATGAGGATGTTAAGATACCAAGTACTGAGGATATTAAGGTAAACTGGTATGCAGCTGCTAGAGAGTTCAGTTTTGAAATAAAGCTTAGTCTTGTATCCAGACAGGAAGAGGCAGCGCATGCTAACTTTAGCACGAAGGACAAGGGTCCTCTCAGAGAGACAGCCTACTCTTTCTCTTCCTGCTCTGAGATAAAGTGCCAAATAGCAGCTTTCAAGTTCTAGTGAGAGAAATAAAAATAAAGCTGGGCTACTGCATATTGCCAAACAAATAGGTATTTTCATACTGCATACTTACAAAGTACAGATTGAGTATCCCTTATCAGAAATATTTTGGACCAGAAGTGTTTTGGATTTCAGATATTTTTGAAATTTGGAATATATGAAAAATACAAACTGGTTGAACATCCCAAATATGAAATCCAAAATGCTCAAATGAGCATTTCCTTTGAGCATCATGTCGGTATTCAAAAAGTTTTGGATTTTGGAGCATTTGGATTCCAGGAGCTCAGTCCGTATTTAGAAATAAAGCATAACTTCTATATACAGCTGGCTAATACTTGCTGGTTGCACTTAAGTATCATAGTAATTATCAGCATAAAGTAAAAATAAGTATTTAATGCCTAAAATGTTGAACCAAAGTTTTCTGGGACCATTTCTCTAAATACACAAATGGAGAGACATACTAGAAAACCTTACAATTAAATATGCTGGTGGTGTTAGGGTTTTAGAGCAAAACAAAAACCAAAACCCCAAGAAAGTCAGGAAAAAGAAGACAAAAATCAGAAGATGAACAGCTGCATATTTCTCCGCCTAACACTAGGAAGAAAAAGTAGAATATCTGAAATACGGTATGGAATACAAATGTGTGTCATTTAGAACATAATGGTAGGACGTAGTAAACAAGCTACATCAGCACAGGACATGGTTTATTGTCAACCATTTAAACATGTAAACAAAACTGAGAGTAAGAAAATAAAAGATGATGTAGCAAAAGGGTATTTCTCTCCAACATGATTGGCCATTATTCTCCAAAATGTACAGTTAACAGAAAATAGAAGAAAAGTTTATATAGAGTTATTTTAAATGATTGATATTTTCTGTTTTCTTTTTTTTGAGACAGGCTCTTGCTCTGTAATCCAGGCTAGAGTGCAATGGCGTGATCACAGCTCATTGCAGCCTCAAACCCCCAAGCTCAAAGTGATCCTCCTGCTTCAGCCTCCTGAGTAGCTGGGATTACCAAGCATGAGCCACCGTGCTGAGCTAATTTTTATAATTTTTGAGTAGAGACAGGGTCCTCTCTATGTTGCTCAGGCTGGTCTCGAACTTCTGGACTCAATCCATCCTCCCTGCCTCGACCTCCCAAAGTGCTGGGATTACATGCCTCCATAAGCCACCACACCCAGCTCAAGAATGATTCACATTTTAATTTTCTTTTGAACAGGTTTACCACTTTGTATTCATGTTTTAGGTTTTATTTTAAAAGACTAAATCTGTGCAATAATATTCCCTGGGGATTAAAATTAGGGGAAATATAACCCTCTCCAAAAGCAGAAAGAAAACTTGGGGTGGAAGGAGGAGGTAAAAATTACATTCGCTTTTCCAAATGAGTCTGAATCTTAAAACCATAAAGAATGGTTTTATCTCATTCTTTTGTTTTGTCAGCCATTTGAAGTCAATAAACTATGATTCCTACATTTTGTTTGTATTACACAAAAAGTAAACAACAATGAAAGCTGTTTTTGAAAAAGAATAAAGACAACCAACCACAAATAGAAGAGAACCCCAGAGGGTTCTCTTGGAGGGATGTTTATCACCAGTGCCAAAAGCCTCCCTTCTCAAATGTTTCTCTCAGTTGACAACTTTCAAATGATTTAAAGAACATGAAGAACAAATAGAACATGAAGCTTGGATATGAACAGTAAATAAGACTGGAGTGGTATTTACAAAGGAGAGGCAGATACATGTGCCTAGCACCAGATTTTTCAAGTAAACAAGTTCAGCCCGCAAACTAACTGAACTGAAGTTTTACATTTTTAAATTCTCTCCATTATTTCCCAGAGTTGAAAGCTGTGAAATGTTTCAGCTTGGTGCTATTCACTAATGGTGTGAACTCAAAAGGTGGGTTTTTCTGCAGCTGAACTGATTCTAAGTCTCAGGACTCCAAGATACCTCCAGACCAAGTGTCGTGGACTCTACTGGCGTTACACACCTAATTTGGGACTATCCATTTTTTCCTTCTTTAAAACTAGCTAGGGAATTCCTTCACTAATGTAATGTGTGCAAACACACACACATATTGAAAATCTATAAATAATTCTAGCAGCCAAAAGATGTTTTTCCTTTCCAGAAATTACCCAAAGAAAGTGATATTAGAAATAATATGACTAAAAATCCATTTTTAAAGCCTATTTAATACTCATGATGTCTAAACTTTCAATTTATTGTCTGATTTCTGGATATTTCTGTATTTTAGATTCTACAGACTTCAGATTCTGAAGCTTGCTGAAAAAACTAAGTTCCTCAATATGGAGGACAGTCTATCTGGCTGTACTTTTAGAGGGGAATTTTTCTACTTTTGGAAAAAATTCTGAATATTTATATATAGTATTAACGGAATACCCCAGTAACTCCTATTTCAGGTAACTATTCTTTAGTATAATTTGCATCATACCCAGTATTTTAGACATTAAAATAAGGGTAAAATTTAGAATATAATCATTTGTCTGCATTTTCCCAACATAAGTTTTCATGTAGAATATTAAAATTTAAATTGATATTTGGATTTATAAGCTATTTTCCCTGTATACTATATGCATCTATTAGCAATAGAGACAATTTTGGAGTCGTGGTATAGTGAACCCCTCTGGCTCTCCTTGCACAAGGCTCCATGAGTCAGTCTGAGCAGTGCACGCTACCCTTGCATGACTCACTGCCCGCACTCAGGCTTAGGGGTACTAACATGCAATCCTAGGACAACACTGACACTAGCACTGACATTTTAAAATTCATTCTCCCAAGTAATAATAAAAAATATAGATAGATATACACAGAGAGATCTGCAGCTGTACTAATTACTTCAAATAGCAGCAGACAAGGAAAATACACGCTTGCTTGCTTAAGTTTAAATTCATTTTAAGTTTGCTATATTAAATTTTAAAATTAAAAAAATATCAACTTACTATAAACAATTTAAAATATGTATAATACAATTTCATGGTCAAAACATTTGAATAGTCTATGAAAACAGGAAATACTTTCATCTGACATTTCTGTTTAGATTCTATTCATGATTTTTCAATCTGTCTCTTCCAAGAGAAACCATAAAA